CCCCAAAACCCCAAAACCCCAAAACCCCTTAAAAATCCCATAATTTACAACAACAAAAACAATAAATGTGTTTCTCTGACTCATCACCCCCCAAAAAAGACCCCTTTCTGAAGACCTTAAGGACTAAGAATTCGAAGTATTCCAGTCTTCCCAAAAAGTCACAACCAATAATACTCCTGATGGTGTCATGTGTCAGACTAAGGAAGGAAAGACTATCCCTCCCGGTAAACAAAAGGATTGCAAAGTTGTAGTAGAGGATGGAGTCACTCATATTATGCTGAAGAAGAGCAAGGCTTAAGATATGGTAGGGCCTATTCAGAGGAAGATCATGAAGAAGATAACTCAGAAATAGGCCTGTAGAGAGGAATGTTAACTCACAAACCAATTTAGATCCGAAAAAGAAAGAAGTCATTAGAGATATTCAGAAAGTTATTTCTGATTATGAAAATGTACTGAGTAATATCTCGAAGCAAGGAGTAAGAGTTCATAAGGAGAATAATGTTGAAGGCGATGAAGAAGACTCTGGTAAAGATCAAAGCTTGAATAAACTTACTCTTAAGAATTTAGAAAACAAAGTTAGCATAAGTAGTGATGAATCTGAAGACGAAAAAGAACCAAGTTCTAGTCAAGAAGATGAAGAAGAGCTGAACTCTATTCAAGAAGTATCATCCTTTGAAGTCATCCGAAAGCGTAAAGTCGAAAGCTGCATTCGAAAGATCATTGAGAGCCGAGCTGATCTATACAATAAACAAGATAAGCTAGTTCTGGTTCTTACTAGAAAAGAAGATTGTAAAATATTAAAATAAGTTGTTGAAGAAATTAAGCGGGTGTATTCTTCCAAATTGAAAACTTATAAGGATAGATGCAACCTCACTTCAAGTTGATAACATTAATGAGTTATTGTCGAATCATTTTCCTAATAAGGCCAAGAAACTGATCTTCAAGGCAGTTCCAACACCTTGAAGGATCAGCAAGTATTGGCCACCTCTACGGGAGATAAGTTCAAGACAAATTACCCAACTGACTCTGACAAACTTTATAGTTCCAACAGAATATCTGAAAAATATTTTTGAGGTTTATTTTGAATTAACTGTGTTAGTATTTTGGTAATGTAATCTTGATGGCAAAAATCTAGAACTTAACTCTGAAACTGAATTTAAGATGCGACATATCTTTTTCATGCTCTGTGGAGATGTTATGAGAAATTGTTATGAGAAGTAACTGGGATAGAAAGCCATGAAATTTGTCAGACCTGATTAAAGCCATTAGTCAAACTTCTCTAAAATCCTGCAGATTTCATTTGGATCCTCAAACCTCCACGACCATTGACCAAATCGAAGAAATTTTTGCTTGAATGAAATGTCGGATGTAATTATCAAGGAAGCTGCTGTTCATTCTGAAAAATGGTAAGAACTCAACAATCTGGAAACCTAAATTTTTCAATTTGGTATTTCTAACTCGGGGTTTTGGGGTTTTGGGGTTTTGGGG